CTTTTTATATGCTGTAAATACAATTACTACCATCATCATAATTTACAGCACTAGTCTTTAAAAGAATCCTCAAAGAAAAACAAAACTAGGTTATAAAAAATATTACAGCTAATATATAGAACATGATAATCAGGTAAAGAAATAATATATATATATACACACACACATACATACAGTGTGTAACAAAAAAATTTGGAAAATTTTATTTGTTTGTTTTTCAATATTGGTTGAATAAAAACAGACAAAAAACATATCAAAAGAAAACTGAAAATCAGAAGTTTCTATTAATATAAATTTGATATGAAATTTTTTTTTATTTCTTTCAACATTAAATGACAAAGTTAATTTTTGATCCATTAAAAATCCAATTACAAAGATCCATGAACTCATTTTTCACTAATTTGCCAAAAATCATTCCAATTTTCAGGCTTTTTTAGCATTTATTACTTTATGTCTCACTTAATAAGTTTACCAAAAATTTTGATGTTTCAATACATAAACATTGTTGAATGATCATCATATAACTAACAGAAGGTTTTTAAGTTGAAGCTCTTGTGGGTAAATTTTCAAACTTAAAATAATAAACTTTCAGACATCCTATTTAAATCAAAATAGCTTCTTAATCTTCATAACAACTTCAGGAATGATCTTTATATAGAAAGGTGTGGTAATTTGCTACTGTAAAGAACAAAAAATATTCTTTTCCTAAATTTCACCAATTTTTTTTGTTACACACTGTATAAAAGCTTGTAAATAATGTGTAATGTTGAAAATACAAAGAAAAAATATTTAAAGATACTTTGAAAAAAATTATATCAAAAGAAAGCTGAAGATTTTTTCTTACAAGTATGAAAATTTTAATTTGTGAATTTTTGGTGTACAATATGTATTTACTAATAAACACTATATAGTAATTTCATAGTTTCATAGCACCTAATACGGACATTTTCCAAAAGGCTTATCCTATCCGTGGTGGAATAGGTTAACCCTAGGCTGGACAAATTCCGACGGAAAATTCGCTAACATCATCCGGAACATTCACTACATTCACCGTGATTATCCGTGATTATCACCGGGTAAATATCCACCCGGCGAGGTAAAATAGGATAAGCCTATTTTGTACAACTTCCCCTTTCTATCCCTGTCCGAATGTGCTGTTTCATAGGGGCGATGACAAATATATATGTGTAACATTCAGTTGTCCCCCCATATATTTACTTACCCCTAGATTCTATCAACTAATAGAGCTATTTTTTTAAAAGGTAGGACAGAAAGTGACTTCTATACTTTTAAAATTTGCCCAAAATTTAGACCGAGCCAACTATATTAAATAACTTTTTTTTGTTTTTTTTTTTAAAAAAAACATTTCAAAATGAATAATAACAAAAAAATTCCAATTATTAAAAATTCTCCAAACACTCTAAATGGTATTGTATTATACTATTTAAAAATATAAAATTAATTACTATTTTATTTATTTATATTTATATTTGGTTGTTTATTTTAGATTGTTGGGTGCATATTAATAATGATGATGAAAATGATTTAAATAGTAATAATGAAATTGATAGTAAGGATGGCAATAAAAATGGTGATCAAAGTAACAATAGATTTTTTTGTATGGCTCTAAGTTGTGGTAAAACTTTCAGGAATAGATCTTTACTTAACAAACACAATAAAATTCATGGTGAAAAAAATTTCAAATGTGAATATCCAGGATGTACAAAAGCATTTTATCAAAAAAGTAATTTAATAGCACATACTAAATTTCATCTCGGAATAAAAAATTTCAAATGTGAATATCCAGGATGTGCAAAAGCTTTTTGTCAAAAAGGTGATTTACTAGTCCATACAAGACATCATCTTAGAATAAAAAATTTCAAATGTGATGCACTTGGATGTGACAAAAGATTTGTTACCAAATTCGAGCTCAAGCAGCATAAATCTAGAATTCATTAAAATTTTGGTTGAATGATTGAAATTTAATTATTGTATAAAAGGTGTATGGATATCAAGATTTGATTGATGAAATAAACATTTGTTGCCTTTAAACTTGATCCAATTGCAAGTTACAAAATATTTTATATTTAATATACTCGCAAATACATGATGGTTCATATAATTATGTGCTAAATTAAATTTTTTTGTAAAGAGTATAATGTATAAACAACAATAATAAAATTTCAATTTCTCTTCATTCATATCATTTTCGTCATTTTATAATTATTATTGATAAATCTAGAAAGTTATCATGATTATGATTGCAACATTAATACAATGAAAATATTTAAAATAAAAACAATATTTAAATTTATGGTGAAGATAATGTAATTGAAATAAGTAAAGCTCCGAATGAATTGGTTTGGTTTGAATGATTGAACCAAATTGTAAGAAAATGATTCAATTTGAATCAACCCAGATTTTTAAATTTAAATTCAATAATTGTATTGATTTATGTAAATAAAGAAGCAGTGAAAGGAAAACAGTAAATAATTCGAAAGGTTTAAAAGATGATAAAAACCAAGTAATTGGAATGTTCATACTACATATGGTGGTTCAAGACACTTTACATAAATAGCTAAAGGAATATATATTTCCGCAAAGTAAAAAATGGGTAATTTGATGATTTTACTAATTGACCAGCGCTGCCCTAATTAAAATAATTTCCGCTCAGTAATAAAATAGATATTAAATAATTTCAAATGAACTTTTGTATTTGTTGAAGAATAAAAGTTCGGTTTTATTTTTATCAGTTGTAAAGTGTTTCGAGAGAGAAGTAATGGCAAAAGCACTTTAATAAAGTCCATAATTATGTAACAAAGAGTGTATTAGCATTAATTATGTATGCTATAACGACATAATATAGTTAGTATTATTGTGTTGTAAGGTTAATAGAGTATTCAACCAACGAAATCAATTATTGTTTTTGTAAAAATAAAGCTATTAAATAAGTTGCTAAGTATGTTTACAATAAGTATAAAAGATTGAAATTAATAAATAAATAAAAGAGCCTTGTGAAAGATTCATATAGCCATCTTGTGTCGAAGCTTTCTCAATTGGTAAAATTATTAATTGGTGGGTACCAAATTATTGTCAAATAGCTGACAATAGTAGCCAAAAATTAAACTATTCTTGGCTATACTTGTTAAATAACTGACGTTGACTGGAAAGCTAGCTTGGACTATGTAGGAAATACAGATTTAAATAAAATAAAATTTAGGGATTAGTCTGCTTTTTAACAACATCTTTAAGTTATTATAATCAATCTTCTGTTTATTTCACAAAACACTGGCAATAATCATTTTTTGTTAAAACAATTTTTAAAGAAAACGAAACGTCATTTTGAAAAACAACAAATTTGGGATGATAATTAGCAGAAATAAAAAACTTTGCTTGTTTCATTATCTTTTTCTTTTATGTTGTTCGTTTCTTCAATCAACAAACTACACTTATTGTTTTTATTTATAATAAGTAGCCAAAGATACACGCGTAACCACTCTCGATTAAAGAATGGTCGAGAAATTGTACATGACGAAATCCATATTTATCGCCAAGGATCTTTTGACAAATTTGACGAATTGATTTGGCCAATTAATCAGATGCTTACGATATTTGCTGTGCTGATCACCAATAATAAATTTTAGTGACGTGACGGACGATTGATTCCTATAACTATACATATATTGATTGTTTTTATATAATGCAAACATTTCAGCCAATATATTAACATCACGCATCAACTTTGGGCGAGGATAGTGATGGGAAAATGGCTAATCACAATATCAACCGATTTGGTTTTTTAGGCCCTTCTTTCAAACCCTACACACATGTAAACTCGATTGGTTGGTCATTTATTTATTTTAAATAATTGATTGTTTCATCCGACTTAACGAGCTTACATGTATATCTTATTGTGTGTGTGTGTAACTGGTCAATAGAATGATAATTAACCCTAAAAAAATTTATTTGCTCCGCCAAAAAAAAAACTATTTTACTATTCAATAGCCGTCAAACCAACGACACTACCTCAAAACCAATGGATTATTGCTAGTATAAAGGTATTCACACGTTATAATCGTACCATACTGAATTTTGAGGTTCAAACAAAATCGGCGCATATGCTCAAAGTACACTTTTTTTTTTAATAACTTTATTAATTGTCATTTTATATAGCAATTCAATATGTATAGTAAACATTGGGTATTTACAATGGTGATTATTCTAATTCTTTTTTATCGTGATGATAAAACAAAGGGTTCCGAACCTAAATCATTTTTTTGGTGATATCACTATACTGATTCAATATTTAGCCATATCTTTGGTCATTGGCTATGAAAATTTAGTCGGTTTAATTGGTTAAATTCAATTTCGTCAACTATTCTTACTCTCTATATAAGAAAGTCATATATATAACAAAAATTTAGTCATATGTTAAATCAAGAAAATTATTGCTAATTAGGATTTTTAATTCCTATACGCTGCCACGAAACGTTTTAAAATTGGAATTATACAGTAATAACAATCGTTAAGAAGTGAACGGAATGAAAAATTCTTTTCCCATAAAAAGGCTCATGATAATAATATGAATCAGTGATAATAATAGTATATTTTACACCATCGTCAATACTGCCAGTTTTTTTAAGCATTAACTCGCTTTGTAATTGTAATGACGGTAATGATTTACTTGGCATTAAGTATGTTTACGGTTTTGTTGGATGGGTTAAAATCATTGGTTAAAAAACTTGGATTTTATAATCCTTGAATTGTATGAATTATAATTTGATGATTAAAGGATTGAGGAGTTGATGATACATATTAAAGAGTAGAATGTCGGTTATATTAGAGGAGGTGAAAACAAATTTTGGAGGAAGGGAGAATTATTAGTTTGAAAAAATTTTACCAATTGATGAACAAAATCAGAACTTGAAAATTTTATTTCATCTACAGTATATTAATTTAATATTTTAAAAAAAAATATAAACTCTAAAAATTATTATTATTTAACATTTCCATGTTTTGGGGTCACGACTTTCTGGTTTACCAACGAATTGATACCATTTATCAGGATTTGTAATTCCCAAACATTGAGCAACAGTGGCAAATTTGAATCCTTTAGCTTTCAATATTTTAATGGCCTTTTTTATCATGACTTTATCGGTAGTTGGAACTGCATCATGGTTCAAGATAATGTGTGACTTCTTTGGACCGGGCACTTTACTATAAATCCCAAGAGACTTGGAAACAGACGCTCCACTAGCATCCAAAGAATCTTCATCCCACAAGATTATATCATAACCAAGTGAAGTAATCGTATCAACAACGGATTTTTTCTCAACACCCGAACCAAATGGTGGTCTCATGTGTTTTGGTATACGGCCTATGATTCTTTTGAGTGCTACTTCAAGTTTTTTCATTTCAGTGACGATTTGTGATTTTTTGAGCTTTGCCAAATCTGGATGTGACCAACTAATAGTTATAAATAAATTAACAAATGAATGGAATAGAATCGATTAATAAATGCGAAAATTTTTTCTATAACGAAATATGCTAATTAGTAAAAATAAATAGCTATATTACGTATGTGATCCTATTTGATGTCCATCTTTTACAGTTTGAATAAGAGTGTCTAATTAATAATTAATTAATTGCAAAAAAAAATTTTAATTGATTAATTTAAAAAAAAATTTTTTTTTACGAAAATAATTCAAAATAAAAAAAGTTAAATCTTTGTTAATAAAAAGTAAGCTCTTTTACCTGAAATATCTTTATCGTAAATACATCCAAAATTATCTCCATTCACAAAGAAAGTGGCTTTAACATTTTCATCCTTCAACACTTTAAGAAGAGATCTTGTGTCAAGGGTAGGCCCATCATCAAATGTGAGGGCAACAGTTCCTGGAGTTTTACAAGTGGTGATGATTCTGTTATTTGATGCTGCTGGTTGAGCAGCTTCGCCACACCTACCGAATGCTGATTGACATCCTTTACCACAATGTCCTGTTGTTGATCCGCAAAAGCCAAATTCCGAACAACAAAAACCATTCAGACACTTAACAGCTCCTCCGATGCTTTTTGCACCACAATTGCCATTAACGTCTTGGGCAGAAATTTCTTTAATGAAGAAAAGTGAAAAGATTGATAAAACGAGAAAATGGATTTTAATTTGCATTTTGAAAATTAATGACCCTATTTTAATGTAAGAGGAGAAAATAGGATTAATAAAGAAGGTGGAAATATGATAGAGGAGAAATTAATGAAAGTACGGAAAGGAAAAGAAGTTATATGTGTGTGAGAGTGTAAAGAAGGTGAGGAATTAAAAAAAAAAGGGAATATAAAGTTTAATCTGAAAAAAAGTTGGATGGATTTCAATCCTTTATTTATATCTTTTTTATTTTCAGCAAACAACAGCAAGCAATATTGGCACACATAATGACACTTTGTCATATAAATAAGTAATTTAAAATAAAAAATAGGCTTTGTAATAAAAACAATAATGCAAATAATTTAAAAATTAATTTTAATGTCGATCTTTTCAATTTTTCAATTGTGTCCGCGTCAACAGTTAATTTCAGTGGAATAATCAATACAAATAATAATTCAATAATTAATAATTAATTAATTAAATATGTGATTGTAATAATATTATTGAAAGATGTTACTACTATCCAGAAGAAAGTTATTATTTTAACTCTAGAGAATTTAATGTTTCACTAAAGTTGCAAAGATAACGAATCATGAAATATTTTGGTGAGTCATAAATATAAAATTTGAACATTCTAGACTCCAAACAATAAAATATAATAAAATATAAATATATACGCAATTAATAATAGATACCAATAAAGAAATGTATAAATAAAGAATAAAATAACAATAAAAAATCAAATAATAATTCTAAGCTCAACAGGGATCTTGACACTATTTCACACTACGATGCAGGTCTAATGATATATGTCAAAATTTTTGCTTTTAGCCTTTGACATAACTAAAATCTTGATTAGAAGTAGCTTCTCGCCAAGGGCTATTATAACGATTTGACTAAAGTAAAAACCCTTGACGAAAGTAAAAAACATTAACTAAAGTTAGAAAACACTTGACGAAAGTAGTGAATCTTGACATTAGTAAAAGGTATTTTTTTATTAAAGCAATTATACTACAAAGATTATAATTGAAGCCTTTTTTTTGAGAGAGTCTTTTCTGTTTCTTATTTCTATTTTGCTACTTGTCACCTTCTCTCCCTCGTCTCGCGTATTGAGATAATTAAAGTAAATTTTTTTAAGTTTATTGGTGTTTTTTAATTGTAACATTAAATATTCTGGGAAAATTTTTTTCTAATATAATTTATTATCATTTCTAATAAAAAAATCAAATACAACATGCATAACAATAATCTTATTTAATAATAAAACTCATAATATACATGTAATGATTTTTACTTTATTGTGAATTTTGTAATTTTTTTTCTCCAATTGAAGTCTTAACATTAATGCTGTGACTTGAATTTCTTTTGAATTTCTGTATAGTTTTACGAGAGGAACCTACCCGAAACCTAATTAATACTAAACCTAAACTTTGATATAATGTTATTCTCAATTAAAGTAAAACTTATGTTTATAACAATCAATTAGGTCTCGAAAAAATTTGAAGCTTTAAATTTTCCCTAAATTAGTTTTGGTTTCAGGCCTTTCCTAATGTTAGAGTATCGGACCATACCATTATTATTTGTCATCTTTTACGCGGTCTTTAATATAATGTCAATCATTTAAAGACTTCACAAAACGTCGCCAATCTTTAAACTTGATATGTTTCTAAATATGGACTATTCCAGCTAAAACTCTCTAGTTTTGAATCTTTAGACATGAAAAATAATGCAATTAATAGAAAGTTTATTTTTGTAAAAAAAAGTATTCGAAATTTCGTAGAATGTTTTCACGGTTTCGCTGGTTTTTTTTCTCTATTTTGTGAAATTACTTAAACTGATCGTCATATTGAAATAAAATTTTTTTTATACCCAAAAGCATGTAACAAAACAAACAAATATTAATATTACTTCGTATCACTATTGAAATATAAACATTAAATAATAAATAGTAAATATCGTATATTTGTTCCATAAAAAATATATAAATAACCACCACTAATAATCGATAAAAAACTTCTATTGATCATTGATTATTAGAATTTTTTCTGTGATCTTACAAATGCCCACCATTCTAAAAAACAATAATCAGTTTTGTGGATAATTAATAAATTCGATAGTTTTTTTATGCAATAATAATATTAATTTCAATAACATAAATATCTAATTCTTTACTCCGGAAATGACTAATAAAAGAAAACATGTAATACTGACATGAACAAAACATATGTTTCTACTTACTGCTATTTATTATTATCACTATTACCACCATCACCACCTTCCATCATGTATAAGCGAGACGTTTAACAACTCCCATGCAAGTCACTGTCCGACAAGCAGACAGTACCAAGCCAATTTTGAGCATATATAACTTTGTACCCAAAGGATTCATCCACCCTAAGTTTTTCTCATCTGCAAAATCGTTCGAATATAGAACAGGCAAAGCCTGATTCGTTGTGATGGCTGCTGCTACTAACATTGAAGTTTCTACTAAAACACTTATTATGAACTTGATATTCATTCATGAATTGCAGCGGTAAACCTTTTTTTGTCCAAGAACAAAGAGGAAAACGTTTGAAATGTGTGTTTCGAGAAGAGAAGTTGGAGTGTTGGGAAGAACACTAGTAAGAACAATGACAAATCGGATATCGTCCGAATCATCTAATTTTGACCTATTACAATTATTATTAGCTAACCAATTGGTGTCGATTTGTGGCGTCATTGAGTAACTAATTGACATAAATTGACAGCAATTTCAAAGTCTAATTGGATATCTTTTGGTTGACTAATTGATTAAAATATTCTCATTTGGTAATAAATTGATTCTTTTCCAAAATGTTTTTGCCTTGTATCATAGGAAAAAATCATCATCCCCGATTCGTAACAGTTACTTGGATCAATCACATCCAATTGACCTATGCTCGGTTACACTTGAATTTATTTATAAAAAATTAATTGACCATTAAATATATATTTTATTTTCATTATTGTAATAGTAGCATTTGATTAAAATGGATTCAAAAATTTTGGAAAAGTATTTCAATGAAAATGAAAGATTATTAAATACAGAAAAATTTTATGATGTAAAAATATATCTTGGTGCAGAACCAAACATTAAAGAAGTTCATGCACATGCATCTATCTTGTCTGCTCATTGTCCATTTTTTGACAATGCATTAAATGATGCAACAAAAGAAAATGGTTATTATATTGTTAAGAAAGTTAATATCAATGAAAAATGTTTTAAGCTTATTCTCAAGTAAGTTTAAATAAATTTATTATTTATTTGTTATTATTTAATTATTGAATATATAATAATGCTAATAATTTATTTTATTGTTAAAAGATTTTTATACACATGTAAAATCGAATTTGAAAACTATTCTGGAGCTGAAGTATTAGAACTAATAATTGCAGCAGAGCAACTTGGTATTGAGTCACTCTATGAATATATGATGAAATACTTTACAGAAAAACATGAAGTTTATGTAAAAGAAAATCCAGTTAAAATTTTACAATTGATTTATGCCAACGAAAAATTTAATCAATTGAAAAATATCTACTTGGAAAAGTTTTGCAATTATAGTGAAAAATTATTTGAAT